TCGCTAACAGGTTGGAGGCCATCGCTAGTAATTAGGTTGGAGGCCATTGCTAGTAATTAGGTTGGAGGCCATCGCTATTAGCTTGTTGATAGAGTGTTCTTTGTTTTGATAAGTACAAAGCCAAACATGGAGCAAGGTGGGCCGGAGGGGCATTGGGCGAGAGCTTGTAGAGTCTGGAACTGAAATTCTTTTTCTTTAGAAATCGATGTGGACCAAGAACTGCTCCGCTAGAAACGCACGATTTAAGGGCGGCCGGCTTCTATTTTGCATCGAATCCAACCAACCAACAGAGGCAGACTGCGAGTTGTGGAACCCTGAGGTGATTTGCTGCCAGTGGAACCCATTGCCGCTGCTGTCATCAGTGCAATGTCTGATGTGGGTGGCCAGGAGAATCTCCATTTGACAAGCTCTTCACAGAGTCATGTCTTCCCAACAACTCTTGATCACAAGAAACTCGTGAGCGATGCATGCTTGCATCAGTGGAGAGGATATTGACCAGTCAGTCCAGCATTTAAAAAGTGCAAATTCATTCTCGCTGTAGCAACTGTAGTATTTGAATCTCATTGGATCCACTCTTTGGTGTCGACAGAGGCAACCAATCCTTCCCCTCAATACCATGGTGCGTTCTACTCCGCAGCCTTTCGAGCGAGAGGGTCCTATCTTAGCATTTTCAGAAAAGGAATGACACCTAACCGTTTGGGTGGTCCTGGCTCCATTCTTTGTGAATCTCTTGATTTGAACATCAGTTGATTTGCCAAAGCCTCCAGGTTTCCTTCGTCCGGAGATAAGGACGAGCTGTTTCTTCATGCAGTTATTTCAATAGGCCAACCTGCCTCTCTGTCGAACAGGCAACCGGTCGCCACTCGTCGTGCGAGTCCGCGTGGGCGCTGCCGCGACTCGCTGCCATGCCGACTCCAACAGCTGCATCAAGGGACCTCCAAAGAGAGTTCTCCTTGCTGAGGACGCTCCAACTTTGGAAAAGCAGAGCTTTGGGATGCTTTGGGTTTTTTGTTTGATTCCGTCTTCTTTCTCTTGTGGAGATGATAAGTACGTCAAAGTGTGAATTCCTCAGATCATATTGCCGCAATCCGAGTTTCTCCTACCTTCAGGGCCCCCAAACTCCCACGAGGGGCACCCAGATCCGCCACGTCCAAGGCAAGAGTTGCAAGCAGATCTTCAACGGCTCACCGCTCGACTCGACAAGCTTGAGAACCGCTTCGATGGACGGCTCCAACTGCCTACAGCCAACTTGGCCACTGCCCACAGCTCCGATGCCTCTCCTCGGTCAGGTGATTCCCCCAGCGAGAATGAGATGAAGATTGATGTCCAAAACACGGATCTGTCAATGGTACAGCTGTCAATGGTGGTGAACAATGGCTTCCCACCATCCCAGCCGGAGATTGAAGAACCTCAGGATGAGCAGGTGCGGTGCTGAGTGTCTTGTGGGTTGAGTGTTTAGTGCTTGGTATTTGAGTCATAGTCATAGGGGTGTGGCTCAGTTATTAGGACCCTGGGTAACCCATGGTGCGCAAGCATGAGAGGACGGCTTGGTGCCTTTTGAAGAGAGTGCTTGGAGTTTTCCTTTGGTCGCTCGGAACAGATATAGAAGAAGTCTTTGCCAGATATCGGTCGCGTTGTTTCTACTGCATGGTAGACGCCGCGATTCCCTCGTAGAGGAGTGACTTCCAGCCGTCGTTCCTCGTCAGTGACATGGTTCTGAGGTGGTCGGCTTGGCACCAGCGGGTCCATGTGACGTGAAGCTCGGTGGAGACCACTCCGTGGCGTGGGGCCAAGTGGGCCAAATGGACGATCCAACGAAGTGGGATGAAGTGGGTTCCTTTGCAACTTTGGAAGACACCTTTTCCCGGGGAAGAGGAGCAGGAGTAGGAGTTAGAAGTTAGGAGTTAGAAGTTAGGAGTTAGAAGTTAGAAGTTAGGAGTTAGGAGGTAGGAGGTAGTAGGTAGGAGGTAGGAGGTAGGAGGCAGGAGGCAGGAGGTAGGAGTAGTAGTAGTAGTAGTAGCAGTAGTAGCAGTAGCTCGTCGTCGGATTTTGTGGTAGGTTGGTTAGATAGTTTGAGTAGCAACGTAGTTAGGGCTTTCTTGGAATCGGAGCCAACTACCGGGGTAGAAGCACTCATCCCAATTATTTTTTTCTTTACTGTAGCGTGAAAGGGTGTTGGGTGTTGGTCAGTAGCTCAACTGGGCCACGAGCTATTCTAGTCTTCAGTGCCACATCAGGGTGTGTCTTAGAAGAACGGTTCGCTGCTAAACCCTGGCTTGAAATTGCCTGGATCTTTTTCGCCATTTCATTGGATCCCATACTCCTACACCATATTGGCAAAGATTGGATCCATTCTGTCCTCCTAAGTGGGTGATTTTGCCCATGAAGACTTTGGGGGCGGCTTGAATTGGGGGATGCCCCATTGGGCTCCGATCTATTTACCCTGCTTGACATATTCTCTTCCTTTTTCTGGGTGCGGTCCCGCATGTGAAGGCACAGCCACTTCTTGACAACTGTGACGATCTCTTAGAAATCACATCCCAAAATCTTCCTGCAACCGTTCTCTCGGGCTTGGCGTAAGCACATAAGTGGCGCTAAGAGGTAGAGCGTCCTGCGTTGACCCTTAAGTTTAACGATTGACTGAACTGGTGACTGAACCATTCATTCTTTCACCACCCGGTCATTTGTTCATTCATTGTACATGGGGAGAGGTCACACATCCGAGTGAGTGTTTTGCAGTGCCTCATGGCAAGGACCTTTGCGATCATCCTCTTGCTCCTCAATTTGGGCAGCTTGACTCAGCTTGACCAAATTTAACTGACTTAACTTTCTGACCTCCTTTGGCAGCGTCAGAAAGAAGATCAACTTGTGTAAGCTTTAGTCGCAGGTGAGGGTTTGTGCTCCAACCTCTGCCCAAGGCATGCAAGTGGCCTTCTCTGTCATTATCCTGGATGAGAACTTCATTGGATCCCCCTTCACCGATCACATTGACAATGCTCGACGAACGCGTACGAGCATTGCACATGATTACACACACATGGATTTGGCAAAGACCTCACTAGTGAGCCGGGTTTGCAGTGAGGATGGTGCCTTGATTCTGTCAACACCACAGGCGAATTTGATCCAACAGATCAACAGCTTCTTGAGTTTGGGCCTGGATCAATTTCAGCCCGGCTTCTTTCAGGTGGGATCTTTACTCTCCATGCTTTGCATCTTGCTGTGGAGCCTCTGTGTCTACAAGGAGTATCGGAGCATTTGGCTCACCTCAGAGGCTGTTTGGAGGATCCCTCGCTCCAAATGCACCCTCTTCCGGGACAACGAATTTCATACGATTTCCACAGGCGCGGACGCATGATCGGTGGGACGTCTTTGGGTTGGGAGGTCAGAAAAAGAGTGTAATTCGGTTGGAGGCCATCGCTCTTTGCTTGGTGGTAGTTTTTGCCGGACTTAATGAGTCAGACATCAAGTTGTCTAGCAGAGTCTAGCAGTCTGTGTGGAGAAGCAGATCCATGCAGATCCAATAGACCTTGAGGATGATCTCTTGTTATTGCCTTTTGTGTTACTTGACATCACTGTATCACTTCACCAGCCATGGGATCATGGAGCTTGACATCAGGTCGACTGAAGATCTTACTCTTCACCTACGTGGCGCGAGCAGCCATCGCATCTCTGCTCCTGGGTGCAGGCATTCGATGGCTTGCGCAGACCACATCCATCTCCGAATTGATGTTGAACGCTGTCTCTCTGAACGCCATCTTGGATGCAGCCCGACGTTGAAACCGCGCAAGACCCAACGACCTTTGAGCATGGTTCGGGGGTTCAAGACTTGGCTTTTTTCGAAGGGCCGAGGGATGCCGAGGGGTCTTTGGGTTGGGATGGATCCTCGGAAAGGGGTCAGTGCAGCTTCCGAGTGCAGCTAAGCTGAGGTAGATGAGTTCTTGTTTGCCGGCTTTACGTGCCCTGACGTTGCAAGGAGTTGGACCATTTTTAGAGAGTTGAGCTGCTTTGTGCACAAGGATCGTGTTCTGTTCATGTGTGTAGTACCCTTGCAGATTGCCGGCAGGTGTGATAGGTGTCAGGTCTTGTTGCTTTCCGTATATAACTATATAACCGCTTCAAATCTACTGGTTCAACGGGCTTCCATGACTGTGCAACTGCAAGTACGACTCTGTCCTCCCTCCCTTTGGGTGCGCTCTTTGCACCGCAAGACACTTCCCAAGTAATGGCCTTGTCATATGGAACTTGGGCATGAGCAAACACCTGAAAAGCTAAGAGAGTTGTAACACGTGCATGTTGGGTAAGCTTTGTGTACGGCTCTATCTTTCCACATGTGTTTGTTGCCCGGACATCTGCAAAAAGGACCGTTGCGTCAGCATTTCTCTTGGGGGTATGGTTTTCATATATGTTTAACACAGATGCGTAAGATCTGCGTAAGGTCTTCGGAGAAATCCTTGGCGTGTAAGCTAGTGAAAGCAGGTGTGTAAGAAAGTTGTGCGAAAGCTAGGGGTTAAGTCATACGTCTTTTTGCAGAGCTTTTTGCGAGTGTTTTGGTTCTCAGCCCCTGAAAAGAGGTGTTTCGGGTGTGCATGAACCCCTTGCGGGTCCACCGAAGCGCCGAAGCTGCCTGCCTCGAGGCCGATTTCCATCCAGCTGGCGGTGCGAACGCTGGAGCCTTTGAAAATGAAGTACAGCCGTCGTCGGAGTCAACTGGAAACCTGGAGTTTGTTTGTGTTGCTCGTGGGCACCATCACTCTGCCATACTTTGTTCTCTTGAATCCGCTGGGTGAGCAGATGGTCCAAGTGAAGCATGAGCTCTGCGCCGGAAACCAGACCTTTGTGGTGGGACGAAGCACGGAAGCTGGGCCAAAATATGCAAAACACATTCTTGCTGCTTGCTCAACGTTTTTGAGGGAGAAGGGGGTGGTCAGTTGTTCAGTTTCTTTTTTGTTTCCACTAAGCAGGTTGTTAGAGATCCTTTGTTGTCTTTGTGGCACCCGTAGCACTTCCGTGCGTCCGTCCACGCCAACCGACAGGAGACGCAGATGACGGTGGGACTGGTGACTCGGCATCCCCAAGAGGCGTCGGAGCTCACGGTGACGGAGCTGGCAGTGGAGGAGCACAAGTTCAATGGACCGAATGAAGTGCCCTACTTGATCAACTTCATGGAAACGGACGTGCACTTCTATGAGGCCCTCGGCCGAGACATGGCCGCCGAAGTGAAGAACTGGGGGCTTTGCATCGAGAAGGAGCGGGCGGTTGAGGTCGGTGTGGAGAGGAAGCGATTTCAACCGTTAGGGGGCGAAGCAGAGCAAGGACCAGAAGCTTCTTCCCTAGCATGGAAGATCTATGATCATTTTTTATGTGGACGAGCAGACAGATGTGACCATGCAAGACTGAAGATTTGAGTCACGTGACAATCCCGACATCCTGCTGGAAAGGCATTTCTTTCTCTCTTATAGGCAGTTTCTTGGAGAACTACCCATATAGCTCTGGCCCGGCCCCCGCCCTGTTTCTTCGGGGTCTTTTGTTTCGCTCCGATGTGCAAGGTGAGGAACCTGTCAGGGAGAAGACTATCCGACCAATCTCCCAAAGATGAACAGAATAGAACACATATATAGATCTAAACAGCTGGTGTGACCACTGCTTGACAGACAAATTCTCCCCACGCAGGAGGTCCTAATGCTTGGTGGTTTTTTCTACCAAGATCCGCTGATCACGCCTTATTCAGATCTCATGCTTCGGCAAGCAGCGACCAGCCTTGGAACAGCAGATGTGTCTCGAGGCACCGCCAGTTCCTAGCTGGGAACTGCATGCCTCCATGTGCAAAGTAGATCGTTTCTCTGGTTTCAAGCGACTTTTTCAAACATGCCCACTGCCGAGAACCGGTCCCCAATTCGGCTCCACGTCGGCCACGTCGGTCACGTTGTCCGCGTCCGTCACATGGGAGGTTGTGCGGGTTTGAAGCACCTCTGCAACGATCCCAATGCACGCTTATTGCGGATGGTCTGTGGCCACACCTGCGGATGTACTGATCCTTTGGCCTCTGCATGGCACAAAGTCACCGCGCAGGGATGTATCGCTGCATGTTCACAGATTGCCTTTGACGCGGCAGCTGCTCGCCGCGTTTCCGGCAAAACACCCCCAGATGTTTGGGCCTTTTTTGGGAGGGTAGGAAAAAGGACGCTACTAGGGGCTCCTGGCATCGCTACTAGGAGCAAGGACGCTACTAGGGGCTCCTGACATCGCTACTAGGAGCAAGGACGCTACTAGGGGCTCCTGACATCGCTACTAGGAACAAGGACGGTACTAGGGGCTCCTGGCCGTACTGCTAGGAACAATGTTTGCTATTAGAAACAACCCCAAAAAGGCCCAGAGCGTCCTTGCTCGTAGTAGCGATGCCAGGAGCCCCTAATAGTTCGATCTTCGATCGCGCTTTTTTCCATCTTCTCGACTTCCGAACAATACCCAGGCTGCCACTTGCCAAGACAACATTGATTCGGAGAATTGGGAGGTCTTTTGGAACTCTTATCCAGATGTCATGACCGCCTTCTGGGGGAACAACGTGACGGAATCCGCCGTCTATCCGGTCATGCTCTCGGTCGCAGACGCTATGAAGTCCTCCGGATGCTCCGCGTTGATGGATCCGCAATGGCAAGCAGAGCCTGGGGTCAACCACAGATGGTGTGAAGGCTACTGAAGCTTTTCAAGGATAGCTTTGAAGTGTGTGTTTCTTTCCACAGGGTGGAAGCACAAGTCTGGAGTTGATGGGAGGAACCTTGCAAACCCTCCGCACCGGTGACGCACGAATCAGGACACACCGTGACACACACTTTATACCCTAAGGTTATCCTCCTCTTTGGCGCCCTTTGGCCTGGCAATGCCCTGAATCCTGCGGATGCAAAGACATTACGCCCTTGCCGGCGTACTCTGATTTGAACAACAGTTGCCAAACGTGTTTGAACGGAAAATTCTACAGTGTAAAGGATCGTGCATGAAGCCCTTCAGCGGTTCTGTGGTACTGCTTTGCGTGGGTCATGGGCTTTGTTGGGGACATGCCATACACGCTTTTTCGAGCCTGAAAAGGGACATTTCCTCAAAATGCGCCGGTTGTCCAAATCGGAACCAGCGCTTCCTTGGGATCAGTTGTATGAGTTTAACATGAATGTTTACGAAGCATGTCTGGTGCACAGAGCTTTCATTCGTTCGTGGAGCCTTCGTTCGTGTTCACGACCGAGGTACTGCCCCAGCCGTTGTGCAGCGACCTCCAATGAGACACGATGACGTCCCTGGAAACCAGACAATGACGATCTGGGTCCCTCAGGGATTGGACGAACACTCTGACTGTGATTTCTCCAACTGCTTTGACCTGCGAAGCAGGCAAAGGTTGGCGTGCAAAGACCGGGTTGTGCTGCAGAAAGAAACTGCAGGTCTGACTGCGGAACGGTAAGATGCTCTCCTGCGTCCCACCAAATAATCCAGTTTGTAACCCAGCTGGAAGTGAAATGCCTCCGGGCGAGCATGCGCTTGTTCTTGAAACATCATGTCTAATGGATACCACGGTCTTCGGAGATGTTGAGCGGCTCTGTTTGTAATTCTGTTAGAATTATAATACATTGTGTACATTGCTTTACTTTTTACTTATTGTGAAGATGTCGATGTGTTATGCGTGTGTTTTTGATGAGTGAACCCTGAGAGCTCCACTGGTGATACAGGGAGACGAAAGCAAAGGATCCCAGTGTGGAAGAGACGTCCGCCATGTTGCCACCGTGTGATTTGACAAGCATTCCGCCCATGTTTGTGTGTAATTTGGATTTGTCACAAGCAGGTCGCTGCTACAGAGAATACAGATGCTGGCAATTGCTTGTGAGGTCTTGTTCACCAAGTTCTCTCAACACATGTTATTGTTTGTTTAATTTTGAAGAAGGTTTCTGCTACGGTGCTTTCAGAGTAGATGGCACTGGCACCCCAAGATGTCTTTTAGACAGTCCAGATCAACCACCAGAGCGTTCAGGGGGTGCCGATCAGATCTCACAGCAGTGCTCCAGGACCGAAGCAAGGAGGTCGTCATGAAGTGTTTCAGCAAGGGATCTTGGTGCCAGCGGCTTGGGATCGCGAGCGGAGACTGGAGACACATCGTCTCAAAGTTCCAGTCGGCTCTTCGGGAAGACCGGCGGGGCTCATTGGAAAAAGGGGGCAGCAACACAGTGTGCGAGCGTGGTATGAAAAAAAGCAAGGCGGGTTATGGACAGATTCCTTGGTTGAGTCATAGCCCTGAGCTGTAAAGCAATGTACAGGCTGTTGATTAATGCCACCCCTCCATATAGATTTTTTTCACAATTATGGTATGGTTGTTATTATTTTTTCTAATTTTGCAAGGTTCACAATTCAATCTACCTCCCTTGTTGTGAATCAGTGAATCATTGCCTCGACTACCACGTGTGGTTCCGGCTGCCTTTTTGCAACTGAAGGCTGGGCTGAACTTCTGCTGGACAGGCTGGGCCAAACTACCTGAAGCGGCGTGGAAAAAGTCTCATGGATGCAAGAGCCTTCTAACAACATGCATTGGTTTTCACCGGAGCGCTGCTCTTTGTGCGAACCATGCTACCAACTAGCAACACTGGGAATAACAAAGACCAAGATCCTGTGACATGCTACACAGCACACCTTTCTTCCGAATCCACCCTATTTCGCACTCGGGGGGAGTGGGCCGGGGCGAGCGGTAAAGGTGCGGACCTCTTCCGGCCGTGCTCCAGCTGTTCTCGTCGGGTGATACACTTCGAGCCTCGCCAGGTGCCCGGCGAAGGTGGTACAGCCTGAGGCGTGTGCCCTTTGCGGGTCGAAGCACGTGGCCCGTCGAAGCATGCCGCTCCGGCCACGATGTTTGAACACGCCACGTGGCCAAGATGTTTGATGGTACGATACGTTCTGTGTCCGACAGATGGTGAATGACACCGTGCACAACAGGTCCGTTTGTGTGCAAAAACTCAAGCCGCCCTCATTGAAGGTCAGTTTGAGTCTGGCTTTCTGAGAATGCAATTTTTGCACACATCACCGTCTGTTTGAACCACTTCGCATCTTGGATCCTTCCCGCCCCACCCAGGGCGGCCACCTGTGTCTTCGTCCCACCAGCCACCGGTCGACAGGTCCGTGACCGGCTGCTAGGCGCCGCGATGAAAGCCTTGCTGCGGGAGGAGGATGAGGTGGGAGACGGGAGGAAGTGCGGTGAGATCTGAACAGTGAAATTTCCAGGGCTGAAACGTCTTTTTGAAGGGCCTGATTCACCTAGATTTTAACTACTTTTTGGGGAGATGGGTGCTGTTTGCTTGTTGTCGTTGCTCTATGGGTATATATATATATATAATCTATCTATCTACCTATACATACATGTTACATCATGTTACACATATATATATATATACATTATATTATATTATACTATATTGTATTGTATTGTATTGTATTGTATTATGTTATGTTATGTTATATTATATTATATTATATATTACTTTATATAACGATCATGATCACTGTAAATGTTGTTGTTGCTCCTTTCCTTCACTCCTACGGCCTTCGGACTGTCGGACCTTCGGAGACGTGACCCTTCGGACAGGTGGTCTCCACCGCCGCTCGGCTGGTGGCAAAGCTCACGGCCATGGGCGAGCAGCTGGCGGACGAAGGTGGGGGGATCCCCTTGCTCCGGACGACGGCGGCGTCCGCGCGGGTTTCACCCAAAAGGATCCAAGCGGCGTCCGCGGACTCCAGACTGCCATGTTTGGACTGTCCAATCTCCTGTTCTCTTCTTTGAATAATGTTTTGGCGTTAGAACTAACATGGCAGTTGGATGGCCAGAAAGAGAAGTTGTTGTTTGGGGATGAACCCGGTCATGGCATCCAGTTCCATGCTTATGTTCGTTGGAGTGTAGGCCGGTTTTCTTGAGAGGACCATTGAAACGTTCACCAAAACCTTGACATAGAGAAGATTACACACACAATGCACTGTGACTTGTGAATGTTGAATTTTGGAACGTTGTCTTTAGGTGTGTCTGACAGGGGAGATCCCTTGGCCTCAGTTTCGTTTTGGCCGTGCTTGAGATGAGAAAACGTCCTGCCTTCCCACTATCAGACATGCAGTGGGCTCTACCTGCGCTGGAGGTGAGGATCTGCTGGGCAGCATGTGCCAACGCCTCTTCCGCCTCATGAAGGAGCAGCCAAGCTTACTGGACCGTCCGGCCACCGAGGACCGTGAAGAGCTCCTCTTCACCACTTCTTATCAATCATGTCCTAACCGCCTAATGAATTATCAAATGAAAAACATATACAATGGCGGTTAGGTTATTAATGTCCTTTCATTCATTCTGCCTTTTTAATAAATACAATCATCCATTAAAAAGGCTTATTATTCTATTTTTTTCATGGTGTTAACCTCCATATATAAAGAGACTACCCTGTTATTATAGCAACTCTCGACAGTTGCCCACCATTAAATTTAGTATTAAATTTCATGGCCAATCCACCATCATTTTTCATTATTAATAATGGTGCCCACCGCCCAGGGACAAAGAACCTCCAACCAGCCAAGCATCCAACATGGACCTTCAATGGGCCTGTGAACAGCTTCCATTCCAACCAACCCAAGGTCTGATCTCCATTGACGGGCCAAAGGATGTTGTTACCACCCTCCATCTTGCGGCAAAGCGCTTGGAGTTCCAACCACACACATCTCCACTTTATGGCCTTCTGGCATGCTGATTGCAACATATGTCAACAAAAATCGAAAGAGCTACATCAAAATGGTTGTATTTCCGAATATTTCAATCATTTTCACTTTGCATCTTGCTTCTATCATCTTGTGCTCTGGAAGCATCCAGAGACGTCTGGAGCCTGGCGGGTTCTGCTCGCCAAGGCAGAGGGGAGCTGATCGTGCGCAAGATCTGTGGTGCTCTCGTCAATCCAGGTGGGCTTCAGCAAGACTTAACGAAGCAGGAACCACCCAGGATCCAGATGGGTCTGGTTGGGATTGTGTTTGGGCTTCCAAGAATGGATCCAGATGGACAGAGCAGAGAGGAAATCTCGCTGCACCTGCTACACTGAAACGGTCCAGTCAGGGTCAATCTTTTCTGCGATGCGATGAGACGAAAGGGGTTGAAGTCGGAAAGGCTTGTTGTTTGAGGAAAATACACTGAACATCTTTGAGTCAAGCAAGGTAGAGTCTTAGCTCAACACATTAGTTCCTGTTCATCCCTCCCAAACAGAAGTAAAAGCTGGTCAAGGTCCAAGGCACTAACCAAATATAAAATATCCTTCAAGACACAGTGAATCTTGGCAGTCCTCATCATCATATATAACTGTATATATATATACTGTATACACATTCTATATTTATACATATAAAGAAATAAATATATGCTCTATTGGCTCTCTGCACGAGTCGAACATATTGACATAGAGTTCCTTTGAGGGTGATGTGCAGACACGACCGTGGCCACAAAAGAATTCGAGACACGACCGTGGCGGAGCCACCGCCGTCAGGCGTCGATGTCCAGCGCTTCTTTGCAGGGTCTCCCGGGTCGGAGTCGAATCTCTTGGGTTCGATCTTCGAAGGTTCGACCGAAGAAGGAAGCTGGATGAAGCTGGGAGTTCTACCGAGGCCACTGCCGCAAAAGCCATCAACGCAGAGGAGGAGCTATGAAGATGCCATAAGATGCCTGAAAGTGCAAGTCTTTTGCTTCGTTCGTCGTTTGAGATCGAATATGATCTGGAGGACAAGGCCTTTGCAAGGCGCTTGGTGCAGGCACGATGGTTTTCGGGAGCTTTTCAGGGTTTTCCAATGTCCCCAACCAGCACCACCCAGTCCTGAGACTCTTTAACAAGACCACAAACATTTACTTAAACCATCTTAAGGCATGCTACTCTGAACTACAATCTACAGCATCAGCTCAAACTGTGACCATCTTAAGGCTGCTACAGCGAGGGACGTCACCAAAAATAATCACCAGATTTAGTGGCCCGAGCGGCCGCTTTAAACGGTGCGGAGGGCGGAGGGGCTGAACCGTGGCAGGTGCTGAACCGTGGCTTGTTGAGGGGTCCTGAGACAAAGACCTTCCGGGCCGCTTGGACCTTCGCAGTGGAGACGGGAGGGGCTAGCTTCTTGGGGAAGGAGCGGTGGATCCAAATCATCCCTGATGGATCCTATTTTCAAGGTGATTTGACTTGAAGATCCATCCGTATTCTTTCTGGTCTGGTCACCGAAGATAGTCCTCAGCCCGCATCTCTTTTCGGCTTCTCCCTTTTGCACAAGGGTTCTTTCTCACCTGAGGCGCAATTGCAGCTCGAAGCACGAAGAGGTCGAGAAAGCGATGAACTCCGGCCAGAGTTGCAGTGGCTTAGCTGCGATCCACGGAGCAGTTGTGCGAGGGTGGCATCGGAGTTTTTGCCTTCGTTGACTGGGAAGCTTTCTGACTTTAGAGTTTGTTCTAGTGGACATTATATGTATATATATATATTTCAATTAATCAATCGAATTATGTATGTATGTATGTATGTATGTATGTATGTATATATATATATGCATACATATACACATACACATACACATGTTCTGATTCTATAGAACCCACAGATCACAGTGAATTTAGTGAATACATAATTTGGAATAAATTCAGTGCTGAGAGGACACACACACACACACACCCCACCCATTTTGACTGGACATTCCTTGAATAGTTCTTACCCAAAGTATCCAAACGTCGTTCACCACCGGAAGCGACTTTCTTCCAGGATGGCCTTGATGCACGCTTGGATGTGGGATGCCTAAGTTGGCGGGGTCCGATGCGAGAGAGAGAGAGAGAGAGAGAGCGAGCGGGAGAGAGTGGAAGAATAACTTTGCAGTGGTGCCATGATGCGTTTCAGGGCGCCATGTTGGGGCCTTGGCACAAAAACATGGAGCTACGATGATTACAAGCACCCCAGCGGACTGGATGGATCTGGATGGCACCCCAGTAAGGATTACAATGATTACAGTACCAGGTGAACTAGCCGCAGCTCACCCGAAGCTTCGCCTTCATTCCTTTGAACGACTCGCAGCGGCGAAGACCCCCAGATGACCCTCCCGAAGCGAGGAAATGGCTCGGAGCGATGTCTTAGTCCATGGGTGCTCTGTTGCGAAACTAACTACCCCCTCGAAATGACTGAGCCCGAAACGACTGGGCCCATGAGCTTGTGTTTCATGATTTCATCTGAGGGTTTGCCCCGTGAGCTCCTTGGCTCTGAGCTTTTGGATGAATGAGTTAGGGGCTCCCAGAGTGCGGCTTAGCCGAGACGGACGATCGGATGGCCCAAGAGCCGTTCAGCCTGCTTGCAAATTGAGTTAAAAAAAGCATGCAAGCCCCTTCTTATTACTAGCTTCTTACCACTACTAGAGATGGCCTCCAACCTACTTGTGATGGCCTGCACCGAATAGCGTCCTGGTTCAAGAAGCCAAGGTTTGAGTTTGCAGCAGGCTTGGCAACTAGGCGTGGCGAAGAAGTACGCGACTGATCAACATTTCATAAAGATCATGCATTGCATATATTTATTTTTCAAGTCAGTCCCAGACGCAAATCGCCGTGATGGAGCCTGAATACAAATCTCATGATGTAGCTGTAGCTTCAATGTTGAACAGTTCACAGCCCGGATCTCCTCCTTTCGTGCGCGGCGCGTGGTCTCCGGCATGTTCTTCGTCCCCGCCGTCCCGGCTTCAGATTCCTCAGGCTCGCAACGGCAGAACGGACGACCGAGATTGAGGTGGGGATCGGGGCAGGAGAGATCAGGAGTTGCGCTGGCATTTTTGAGATCTCATGTGCTTCAAACGTGGGCGCCGGGCACCCTCTTGGGCGGATGGGGATGGGGCAGCTGTTATTGTTGGCAACATTGAAGAAGTGGAATCTGGCGGGTCTTGTGGAAGGGTATCTTGGGGCTGGATCTAGACCTATCCCAATACTTCACAGGGGATTGGAGGCCCATTCCTAAGTCATATGAACATCCATTGAACTCAGGCGGATGACGGTGTCAGGCGTCAGACCTTCAGCTCAGGTCGAGCTCAACGACTTCGTGGAGCTTTTGGAATCGCCAGCTCTTGGGCCGCACGGCGCGCACGGCTTCGGCGGCGCGCACGGCGTGCAGGGCGTGCGACGGCCGTGCCGGTCTTTGACGGACGCATTGAAGGAGGCGTTCGGGCGATGCTGTTTGGAGCTCTTTGGGCTCCAGCATTCCGTTGCGCGGCTCCACATTGTTCCACCGCCCTCGCCATGAAGTTGCTTGAGTGCTCGCGGCATCAGCCCTGGAGTGGGTCAAAGGGCGAACAGGTTTGCACCGTGGGTGGGGCCTTGTCGGTCCTGAGCTGGAATGTTTTGGCGCCAAGCACCGCCGAGGCGAAACGGCATGACGAAAGGGGCATGACTCATGACTGTGGTTGGGAGAGGTCGCATGGGAGAGCAACACCATGTTCCAAAGCTAGGAAAATGGAAAAGACCGGCTTGAGGCACAGTTCTCTTTCGCTTGCTGGAGGCGAGTGAAGGAAGACTGATGAAAGCCGAAGGAGGGGAGAGTGGAATCCAATCTACGGCTATTTCTCCTGTAACACCTTTCGTTACTTGATCTGTAGGACTCGGACAAATCCACTGACCCAAATAAACATCGACAAATCAAAGAAAAACGTGGCCAGTTTCCACTACGTTTACACCGTCGCACTATTGCTTCTCTCTTTTGTGTTGAGCGGTCGTGACTTTGACATACTTTGAATGCCTGGCACCGGTCACTGCCAGGGCACTGAAATTTTCCGGAGGGAGCGCCTTCCTGCGCTGCTGGAAGTCTTGGATCTGTATACAAGCTGCGATATCATTTGCCTACAAGAAGTGGAAATAGGCCAGCTCTCACAAGTTGCACGCCTGGGCAACATGGGTGTGAGTCAAGACTGACCCAATCGGTTGACCTCCTAGCCGTCCATTCTGTTCATGAAAGCATGGAGGTCAGGTGGTGCCAGATACCAAGATGTCACGACTCTTTACCTCAAAGCACAAGCAGCTGAAGCTGCAGATCGCTGGTGTTGACCTCCCTGGCCTCCCTGTCACGTGACCGGGTGGCTTTTCGAACCACTACCACGGGTTGCCCCACGTCCAGGTGCATTTCTGCAGCCGGTGCGCGACTTCTTGGAGGAGCGAGGCTTCGAGACCGCGGTGCAGGAGAGAGAAGGTGCGAGTTCGGACGATGCACGGGAACGACGGTTGGATGGTGTTGTTTGTGCCAAGAAGTGCAGGTGGAATTCAAGGCATCAAACATCATCAAACCACACCTATATCAATTCAATGCGGCGTCTATGGGCATGCTTTTTTTGTCGCCGGGCACTCGCTCCGGACATGAAATGGAAGTCATGCGTTGCCACTGCTTCGAGGCCATACCTTTGTGAATGTCACGTTCTTCCATCACTCCTTGCGGTTGAGCTGGAGCATGTCCCGATCGCGGATCTTCCTCACGGGTTTCTTGATGGCCTCGGGTCACGAGGCAAGTTTTCGTCGAATCGGCAGACCAATGGTCCGAATGGGAAGGTTTCCAGCGGGGGCTGTGGGTGCCCGGTTTTTTTTGGGAGGTGACCGGTGTACACTTGAACAGTTCTTGTACATGCACGGCATCCAGTAAACAAACTGGACATGAAGCCTTTTGTCAGAAGAGTGGATTTCTCGTGACAGGTCTGTGTTGTAAACGTGCACTTGGACTCGAAAAAGGAGGATCAGCGAGCTTCGCAGCTCAGCAAGTCTCTGCAAAAGATGAGCCAGAAAAGATCGCCACTTTGTCCGAAGATGGAGGTGCCAACGTGTGCTCATACCTCCTGTGCTCTTGTGGTTGCAGCGAAGCTTAGGGGTCTGTTCCGGAGCAAGTTCCGGAGCAGGTTCTGGATGAGGTTCCGGAGCAGGCTGTGGAGCAGGTTCCGGAGAAGGAGCTTCCCACAAGTTCCAGAGCGCTTTGCAGATATGATGAGATGCCGCTATGATAATGTTGTCACCTGGTAGTGCTGACATGTCATGATGCTGGCCTGTTGTCACGCTGACATGTTGACATGCCATCAGGCTACCGTGCGGCTTGTGCAAACCTGTATGCTGTATGCTTGTTTTATATTTCTGACTAAGGTGCTGCCATGCCGTTGAGTATTGTTGCGCTGATATGCTGCCGTGGTGTCACACCGACAAGTTGTCAGGCTGTCACGCTAACATATTTTCATACTGGCGTGGTCATGGGTCACACTAGCATGCTAAACGAATGTCACGCTGAGATGTGGAAATCGGGTCATGCTGTCGTGCTAACTTGCTGGCGGTTCCAAAGCCTGGTTGCCAAGAGGAAACATGCTTGCACATATGTAGGCACATGTGCTACGCTGATGGATTGCTGTGTTAATGTGCCCACATGGCACATTGAAAGGGTTCACGCTCTTGATAGCAACCGTATCTAACAATCTCACACCTCTTCTGCAAACTTGCAAACGTCGCAAGTGATTGACAGATGCCAAGTGTTGTCATTCCTTATCAGCAAATTCATGCCCAGCTGTTGGGGAATATTCTTGGGCTTAGTCACTTTTTTGGGGCATGTGGAGGTGCATGTCAGTGGATGAAACCACTCCTGAAGCAATGCTTCTCTCACCTGAGGACCTTTCAAGTCGTCTGTGGCGACTTCAACACAGACCTCAGTCAAGACATTCCGCTCACGGAGATGTTGGCAGAATATGGCCTGCCAGGGTCTCAGAACAATGTGCTGAGTTGGAGATGTGGTCTTATCAGCATGGGCAGGTTGAGGAAGAACCACGGGGCTCCTCATTCATTCTCTTTCGAGAGGTGACTTGTTCATTTTCATCATGTGTCTTTTCCAGGCTCACTGTGAGTCTTGCTGTTATACATTTTTGCAAGTGACCATGGAGCACGAAACACCTGCCGGGTCGCTCCACCTGCTGGGTCTGGTCCTGTCGACTCCGTCGCCCAGGTCTCGTGCTCCGATGAGAGGTCTGAATGTGCGGAAAGGGGGCCGACAAGGGGGATCTGCTAGGAGCTTGCTAGGGATCTTTTTTTTGTTTGGTTTGTTCAGATAGTAGATGATGGTAGGTATGGAATAACTCACCCTCCTAGATGATGTTGATTAGAGGGAACTTTGTCTGGGAAATTCGCTGATGGTCCTGTTCTGGCAACACGATGTAGTGTATTGGTTTGTTGGATCATCATTACTGTTCTTCGTTGTTGACTTGGGGCGGCTCCCAGGTATATAGATGGTTTACTCAAGATGTCCAATATCCATCCACTCTTGCAGGACTTGCTACAAGTGTAAACGCATCACTGAGTGGTAGCAGCTTGGTCCTATCGTTTTCCATCACTCTACCCAATGGGCGCTCGTCGGCTCGCGGTGCTCGTCGGCTCGCATGGCAGGCCTGACTCACACGTTGGGGGGGGCATTGGATCACCTCTGCAGCACCCGCGGCCTAGCCCCCCGGCGCGTCTTGTGCGCCGCCTCTCGCAGCATCATCGGTGTGCGCGCTACCGGGAAGGCCAGACACAGAGTTGGTTGGGGATTTGGCAACCAGCTGCACCTGAAACCACCGAAATAGGTAGGAAGAAATCCAGTGCGCATTCTTTCGTTGCTTGGGCTTGTTTGGGCCTTCTCATGGGCCTTCTCATGCTGACATATGCTCAATGGAGCGAATGGACCCAAGGCCGGCGAAACTTGTTTCCAACTTGTGTCAGCAGGAGCTTCTCCCTGTCGCTCTCACTGCTCTTAAGTGAGTTTCCTGGGACGGCCTTTTCTTTCTGTTAGTGAAGTTTCTGCAAAGCAGCACCACTGGGTGAGACTTGCCAATGTTCGGAACGGCAGGGATGCCCTTCTGATCACCTGCCAGTCGCTTGCGAGTTTGAGATCTTGGAACCTCTTTGGCCACATGGCTTGCCAATCGATTTGCCTGGGGAAAGAGGGAAGCAATAGGATTTGTTCAGCAAGGCTTGGCAACAACGCAGGTCAACGGTTGCGCAGCTTGGATTTGGATGCAAAGCTCATTGGTGGGAGTGAGATAGTCTTTTTGGAGTGCGAAAAGAAGGACATGGGCCTGGCCAGGCCGCGGTGTTGGTGTTCGCGGTGTTGGTGCTTGTCGGTGGTGGGGATACCTCCCGCGGTCGCTTCCAAGATTGGTCTACCTGAGGCAATGTCCAAGAATGACCTCAGCTGCTGTCCCAGCAGATGTAGCGGCTGAATGGGCGGAGCTTCTGGAACTTGGAACGCGCACGAGCCACGTGGCGCCACGAGACCGTCTTCCCGTTCGGATCCGCCGCGGTCGGAGTCTGGGGGTCTGCCCAAGGTAACAAGCGCGAAGTCAAGAAGCAGCGACAGGATGAGGAGTGTGCGAAGGGTTTCGGCTTCCGTCTGACCACTGAAACCGCGCGTCATCACCAAGTTGGTTCGAAGCTCCAAAAACAAAGAGCCCTGGACAACGAGAATGTTAAGGGGTACCATCCACCAGAACCGGGACTTTGGTGGTCTAAACCCAACGAGACTTGCGCACCAAAACTGCGACCATCCTTCCATGTGATCCAGCGCTCCAAATCTCCGACCATACAAACGTTTGGAGACGAAACGAACGGTTACAAGCCAGCCTTGCCTTGGATGTATGTTTGCGGGTGTGTGCGGATTTAGCCATCAATGGGGTTGTAGAATAAATCGAGCAAGAGTACTCTTTCTACTACCACTGCCACTACCGCTACGACTACCGCTACGACGACTGCAACAACAACCTCAACTACTACTAATAACTACAACTATTATCTACTACTAATAACTACTACTAACAACTACTACCACTACTACTGCTGCTGCTGCTGCTACTACCTCCTCCTACTACTACTACTACCACCACCACTACTACCACTATTACCACTATTACCACTATTACCACTACTACCACTACTACCACTACTACCATTACTACCACCACTACCACTACCACTACCACTACCACTACCACTACCACTACCACTAC